AGTCATTTGTTAGGGACACATTTATTATATACGTTTACGTTCAAGAGTTAGTTGGGAGTACTTTGGTCATGCAAAATACACCTTTACTCTAAATTTGTTAACCACCTAACCATGAGAAATAATGTATATAAATTTAGAGTTTAAGGGGCAAAATGTTACTTCGAACCAAGTTCAAGAGGGCAAAGTGTAATTGGCCCAAGTATTAACAACCGCATCCAGGCAATACATTTTCCCCTTGATCATGATTCAACGAACTTTTTTTTCGTTTAGGAAAATCTTTAAGCTTGACATAGATGTTGGAAGGGATTAATCGACAAGCAACCTTAGTACGAATCAAGCACGCATCATATATTACCAAAGACCAAATAATGAAAGTTGAAGTGTTGAGGGGAAACAGCGAAGCGAAGATCAACACAACTAAATCAGCTTTACTCGAGGATGACAAATTATTAACCATAACACGCCCGCACACAGGACAACTGCCGGTGCGCGGGGAGCAGAAGGGGAAGGAATACGAAACATTGGCATCAATTCTGAAATACAAATCTTATAGCTCATCGTTACATGCCTGACTACAACCGCATCAAGATGCTCTAATGCAAAATCACAACCATGCCAAAGCATCATATTTTCTTTTAATGTTAATTAAATGAAGGATCTAATCATACTCCAATTCATCCGGAGTTACTGGACGTTTAAGGGGGATGATAGACTTCTTTTCTACATCCCGAGACAATGCTTTTCTCATATCTGAAATGGGTTACACATAGACAAGTCAGGGGTAACATAAGAGTGAAGTTCAAAGGAAAACTCGTAACTATTGGATGCAGGTACTCACCCAAGCCATCCTCTTCCCCAGAGTAATATCGTAGTACACGTCGATATATAACATATCCAAGCTGAAAGGAAGGCAAATTTTATGAGAATCTAACACTCTCAAAGATAACTGCTATTAGCAGATTTGGTATGGTAAGAACATGAAAAGAGAGGCCAAAAGCCTTACCTTTTCATACATCTTTATGGCTGGTGTATTTGATGCTCTCACAAAAAGGTCCACAAAATAAGCCTTATCACTGTTTAAAAAAAGGAGGAGAGAAGAGGGGGAGGGGGGGGGGCGGGCAATCAGAGGGTAAACTTCATATAGTGTTGATAAGTTTGCAAGTAGCTGTGACTATGGCTCAAAAGTAAAAAGCTGAAGTAATCACATTGACAAGAAATTTCTAGGTGACATGATAGAATGATGAACTTCAAATTTTGTTGTGGTTATCAGAATTAAGATTTAGAGCATGAAGATCAGCTTAGAAGGTCAAGTTAATAAAAACTAATTATATGCAATTCTAACATAAGAGAATGAAAGGAAATGACTAAAGAGAATGGTAAAGCAGGACCCCGAGACTTCCGGGATAATTATGTGCAATTCTAACTGATTAGAAGGTACTTAGAAGCTTCTATATCTCAAGGGAGAGGCAAAAGAATCTAACAATTGCAACATGCAGAAAAAGGACAAAAAAATAAAAAACCAGAAAGAGAGACCCTGGTAAGTAAAAATAGAAGAGCACATCATGAACAACTGTAGATAAAACAAGACTCTCGAATACAAACATATACATAAAAAAATTTCTCCTAGAGTCCATTTCAAGCTAGATTGGCAGCACGTGGTACACTATACAGTCAAAGAAAACACATTTTCACGCATCAAATAAAATAGAGACACAGAAGGCCATGAAAGAGTCTAAATCTGAATATAGAAAGATATCAGAGACTAATACATCTAGTGCTGTAATCATATATTCTTTTAGCGTGTCCTCCTATCATGATCAAGCCTCCGCTCATCTGGGAGTAGTTGGGTACGAAAAGCTAAGGAGCGCAAAGCAAACACAACTACATTTTTTCCTTTTATCACAAGATAGAGGGTGGCCGGAAAAAGGAGATGACAACTTCATTCAACAAAACTACATTGTCTTACATCTTGTCACTAATATCCTCCAATAGGTTCATCAGCTTCTTGGCCAATTGTTGCCTTCGATATTCAGGAGACACAGTTACTGCCGTGACATGACCGTGCCAAGATTCACCTTGTCCTTCAACTTTTCCCATAACTGCAAGAAGTTGTTAGCATTAGGTGTCATCAGCAAATTACTGTTATACAATCTCAATCAGAATATGGAAACCACAATTTGAGATAACCAAAAAGCAGTCTTCATCACTTGCATGGTCACCAAAAACTCTGGATGACATTGTGCTGTGCAAGAAGAGAGAACTTCAAATTCAAATCTATCATCATCTACCACTAAATGTGCTGTTTCAAGCTACATGAATGTATGTGGTGCAGGAATATCTTGCGCCATCAAGTTCTTATACTGATATTCAATGGGACAATTATACCCCAGCCAGAGCCACGCTATCCTTCGCCAGGCCAATTATACTTCAGAAAGCCATAGAAACTTTTTAAGTTCATCGCTGACGCGAACTCTCCAATTCAATGCATCTGACAATTGCACTCAAAACTTGACAACTCTCAAAGTCAAATCTTTAATATTATACATCAATTTCATTAGTTGAAATTTATATATTGAACTAAAGGCAGAAATTACTCGTGGCACCTTTTATTTATTTTCCCAACAAATTGTATCAAAGATAAATCCTTTACTCAGAAAGTAGTAAAAATATGTTACTCCAATCAAAAAAATCCTTTCAAATACATAGTAGTAGTTACAGTATTCAAAAAATCAACCAACGGCAACTGAGGAAGGAGAACTCACTGTATCCCATGATTCGGTTTCCGGGAGCTTCAGCCACGTGGAAATAGTCAGGCCACCTTGCCAAGTAGGTCATGTAGAACGACATGTTGAACTGGGTAAACAAATTATTCCATTCGTCTTTAGTATTCAAGAAAATAAACAAAATTTTAAGCCCTACAATCTTATGCAGCACCTGATTGAGAATTACATGTATGTACGAGTTGAGGAAAGAAACTCACGGTTTCGGTGAGATGGTCCAGATTCACTGACGCGAATCGAAGCAGATCGTTGCAGCAAAATCTTCTAATCGTCGTCATCTCCGCTATTGTTCTTCCCCGACCTTTCTCTCTCCGTCTATTTGTTCCGCTGCTCGGAAGTCTTCAGATCAAATTGGGAAAAACCCTCGAGGGAAAAATTGCTAAAGTAGTCCCCGCATTTGTTACAAATACATTTTATTGTCGACAATGTTTTAGGGTCCGTTTGCTTCTCGTATTTGTACTTTGTTTGGTTAACTTAAGCTTCATTTGTATGGGTGTGCATCTTAACTCGGTGATCCAAAAAATTCGGTAATCCGATCTAGATCCGATGTATTGGATCATAAGTGAATTAAGAAGTTACGCAGATCATATTCGGATATCTTATTTTTTTGTGATTCATGGATATTTGATTTGATCAGCATTTTTTAAAATTTTTAGAATTTTTAGAACTTTATCTCTTATTTCTTATCTTTATATCTTGCATCCTCTTTCAAGATAGACTTTCTTTGCATACGGTATTAAGTTTTTAGACACATTATGATATAATTTGTGGATAAAAAAATCTTGAAGAAATATTAAATCTTATTTGTTTGAATCAAAATAAGAAAAAATATATATGAAAGTTACTTTATATTGCAACAGAAAAAAGACTAGTTTCAACTAAAAACTCTTTTCTTTATGACTAAAAACTCATATGTGAGTACAACAAATTTACTTAGATAATATTTTGAAACTCTAATATATTTATATTTCATTTTATCTTTGGGATTTGTAGTTTTTTAAAAGAAATTTAAAAAATCAAATACAGATTCCCAGATCCAATTGATTTGACCCGCATAATGCGGATATCCGATTAGCAGATCCAAATACGGATCACAAAATGATTAATCCAATTATATGGGTCGATCAGCATATCCGTTAACCAAAATAACCCTATGGTTTGGAAGTTGATAAGAGGAGAGGAAAAAAAAAATGAGAAAACTTAAGAAAGAAGGGGAGAAGAGTAAGAACAAAAAATGGTCAATTTCCTTTCATGCGATTTGGGAGTAACAGGAGGGAAAAGCTGACTAATATGTTTATTTTACTTATGTACCCTCAAGTTCAATAGTGTTGATGTTTACTGTAACGAGCAAATGTGATAATTCATGTCCTTTTGATGCTATTAGTACACTTTTCTTCCATTTCTATCCACTTTTGTAGATAAAATTTTCATAAGATTTTATCCTTCCATTTCTCTCCAATTACTTTCTTTTCTCTCCGGTTAAAACTTCCAAAGAAGAGATAAGTCCTCATACTTTTTTTTTTCTTTTCTCTAATTTTCCTCCATTTCTCTCGATTGAAACTAAGTTTTAGTGAATTACATCTCCAAAAAAATTAAAGACCCACCATAGCAGATGGATCCCCAATTGCGAACCTATCACACCACCTTCCAATCCATCATACCAATCATATCTTTTGTAGACCACCAACAAAATTACCATTCCATTAATGTACTTTCTTGTCACCACCACCACCATCAAGGACCTCCTCCCAAAACCACCATCAACTCTATCTCCCTATCCACCCCCTTCTCACTCCAAGGCAAAAAAAAAAGGTAATTATTCTGAAAAAAAATCTCATCAAACTATAGCAAATCAAGGGACAATGCCAATTACAGATGGATCTTCTTTCCAAAAAACCCGTACCCCCCAATATCAAAAGGAATGATTAGACCACAAAAGCTCCTCATCCAACCCGGAGTCTGGTTATGGTCTTTAAAAGTGCGTCCTCCGAAGAAAAAAAAAAAAAGACAGAGAAAGAACCAAGAACTTTGGGCCTATACTATCCATAAGTATTTATTTAGAAATAGTAGATTATACTATGAAAAATTGCAAGCAAGATCACCAACTAAATCAGAGGAGTGGATAACATTTGGCCAGTGGTACCTCGTAGTGCTGCTAGTGTAGCCGTAGCCTTTGAAAGAGCAAGTAAAAGCGTCAAAAGAAATACTACTGATCTTGTAAGCATAAAATAAGTCCAGTTGAAAGGGCATGGTTTTATATTTCTCAGTAGTTCCAGCCAGCATTAATCTGTCTGATAATGGGACTGGTTTCAGTAGTATTTCCAGCTTCTTTGCACATTTGCTTGGATGAAGATTTCTTTTCACGCTTGGATAACGGAATTAACAAATCTAGCAGGTCTCAACGAACAATATTCGAAGTTCCGTTTTGATCCAGGCAAAACGCCTGTGCTTAATGCAAATACATAGCCAGTTTTACTTGAAATTTACTGGAGCTGTTAGCGGGTGTGTGTGTGATTCGCACTAGTCGGGGAGGAGAAAGGAGAAGGGGAAAAGGTAGACAGCCTTGGACTACTTGGTGCTGGGTCCGGCATCCCCTTCCCCGGCTTCTCTGTCAAATCTTCCCAAGCCGTATGTATCTTCCACACCACTTGTAACTCTCTTTCTGCGCTCTGCAATCATTTCCAGATATGCCTGCAAAGAAAATTGTAAGATTTTTTAAGCCTTTGCTGTATATCAACATCTTCATTGCTGAAAGGGCAAACTAGATCTCGTCATGTGTATGGTTTCTTCCAGTAATTTCGAACATAATTGACTGATTGAGGAAGCATCCACCAATACCTTGGGGTAAGAATACAGAAAGATGTACCACCACGCACATACCAAACCCATAACGCCAGCAGTAACAATAAGGGAGCGCAGAAAAAGCCAGCTACCGGCAATTAGTAACACGCCAGTTGTGGTTATCGTCCAAGGTTGACACCTGAGGAAGGGAATTAGTTAGAGGGCATTTACTGCTATCATCAAAAGGGATTAAAAACAAGCAGGCAATTATCTACAGCCAGTCAAAAAGGGTTAACAAAGGAGTACCAGTTACTATGACAATCATTAGGGATATGACATTTACTTCGCAAACAAGTTGAGTTAAAAAGGCTGGTAAGTTATTACTACCACTATTAATTAGTACATCGACATCCAAAAACACAGATGTTTCTTTGTTCTGCAGCTATTGGTGGGTTGCAAATATACAGGGAGGCAATTGGAACAAGAAGTGTGGTGAGATGGATGACCAACCAGGAAGGCTTGGTGTCCCAAACAGAGTCATACTCGAGGGAAAGATAATTAAGGTAACCGTCCATGTCCCGTACGACGCCGTCTTCATCAAAGAATGAAGACTCTCTGGGGTCCTGGCTGCGGTTGCTTTTAGTAGCTGCACAAGGTTTGAAGGGCTTATAAGCAGAGATTGAAGTGGTTGTTAGCTTTGGTGAAAGGAGCGACGTCACGAGGGAATAATTGAAGCAAGAAAAATGGAGGATTGGGACGGGTGGTGGTGGTGCTCCGGTAGTCGACGTTGGCGGTGGGCGGAAGTAGAAGGAGGGAAGGGCGGCGTGACACGGGGTCAGACTCTGACTTGGAGGAAATGGCAGCATACCTTCCGTCTACCGCCGTCGTATTGAGGAACTAGGCAATTTGTTTTGGGCCGGGAGAAACGGGCAGGGTTATCCTATGATAATTGAGGAAATCACAACTGATGAGAAAATCGGCATACCATTTGCCAGGTTGGACAAAGTTCGTGGGGCCCAGGTGCTCCAAGGACTCGCAACGCTTGAAAATCCATGCCGTTTTTAAAAATTAGTATGATAATTAAACATTTAGAATACATTAATTTTCTAAAACTAAAATGAATGAACATGTAGGATTCATGTTAATTTTTTTTATTTAAAATTATTCATGCTTGCACAAATTCAAAATAATTTTTAAAAATAAACCGTGTTACGTCACGGATAAGATAATTATTTTCCTCACGCTAACTTCACAAAAGAATTAGACTCATTATCCTAGCAATTTTCATACTGATCTATTTTCTAGATATATGGCGCCATTCTTGAATGTAATACTGATTATTTTGCATAATTAATTGTTCAAGAAACTTTTTTTCTTTAGCAGAGAAGGAGTGAGATTTATAAAGCAAGAAAGGGTAGAAGGATTATAATCTAGGAGCTCTGATTTCAGGGACCTCAGGACTATAGGTGACAAACCAACCAATCTAACTAAATTTATCTATATCCGCCCATGAATAGATGGGTATGGGTATCTCAAATTTTTATATATGGGTATAAATAGGTTACCTAATAATACCCATTTAATAAATGGGTATTATTGGGTAATCCATCAAATCCAATTAACCCATTTAAAATTCTCTTCCCCCACCCCCTTTTTTTTTCAAATTTTTCATTTTATCATGATGTTAACTACCTTTATTTCATTATTATTATTATTATTTGTTGGTTTTATCTTATTATTTTATTTTATCTTAGTTTGTTAACCTGCTCATTTTTTAGCATTGCCAATTTATGATAAGTTTTAGCTTTTTTTCTTATCTTTCTAAAATGAAATTTTAAATTTATATATGAAAAAAATTTTAGGGGTTCAAATTTTTTGGATTAAATTTTTATATTAACTTTTATAGTACTTAGTTCAAATTTTTTTATTCTTATTATTCAATTATTAAATAATATGTAATTTTGCGACATAGAGTATAAATGGGAAAAAAATAGTAATTAGGCTTATTGAGCATTATAAGTAAATATTTAAAACTAATGATGGGTACAAAGAACGGTATAAATTAATAACTTAGTTTGCAAAAATGAATTTAAATGAGTTTACAAAAAATTAAAATAAATGGGTTATAAATAGGTAATTGGGTTATCCAATTCATTGTTTGACTTACCCATTTATACCCATTTAATTAAATGGGTATAAATGGGTTGACTCACTTATACCCATTACCCATTTTACCCAACCCAAACCCGCCCAAGTCACCCATTTTGACACCTCTACTCAAGACTTATAATCAACCTTATTAGTGAATTAGAGAGGAAATGGACCTTTTTTTTTTTTCTTTTTTTGCAAGGGGACCAAATGTTGGTTAAAGGTTGAATATCGGACAGAATTTTATATTCTTAATATAGATTTATTTAATCGTTTTAGAAGATTTATGCATTTACAGCTTGAATTAGGAACTGTCAAAATACTTGTTTGCAAAAGTAATTTTTGGTACCAATATTAAGTCAATATTTTAGAGTATAAATCTTGCGTTTCTTTCTTTCCTTCTTTCTTTTATTCCCCTTGTGGGTTAACTATATTATTTTCTATCAGTTTAGAATATTAACAGGAGGTTGATCTTGAAGCCTTAAAAACACGAAGTAGATAATATCTGCGATTCTGGTTGGACAATTGATGACATATTTTGAAAATTTCTATATTTTCATCATATGAAAATTCCCTAACGGCAAAAGCGTCCTAAGCGTATGGGACTTTATTGGGCTAGCTGAGTCAGTGCGCTCCCAAATCCGCACCTTCGAAGGGTTGGACTCATCGGCGACGAGGCCCACAAGATTTCTTTCCACATTTTTGTGTGTGTGTGTGAATGCAGAGGAGTTAAATGACGCTGGAAGGAAAGAATGGTATGTGTTGACACCGAGGCACCTACTATTTGGATTGCCCTTTCGCCCAATTCGGCAAACAAGGAATGGGTACAGGGAGGCGTTGGGATGCTCAGACGATAAAATCTGCAGCGTGGATGGGGGTCAAGAGAAGACTCTGCTTCTTTGAAGGTGAACATGGTAAAGGAAGCAAGACAAACTGGAATATGATCCAGTACAGACTCCTGCACCATTGTTGTTCAATCGAATGTGATCACAGGAGACCGAGAGTAAGCTCTGCTGCTCCCTCACAAGTACTAATTTTGTTTCTCTTCGGAAAATAGAGAGCTAATTGAACTACTATTTTGTTTCTCTTCGATGCCCTGGTTTCGGCACACTGATTAATCGATTGTTGGTTGTCTACTTTTTTGCAGCCGGATGATGGGGTTCTTTGCAAGGTGTACGAGGACTTGGATGAATCCAGATGAACCAACGTTTCGGTTGGATATGATGGATATTGGCGAGGATTCACAGATGAAGACATAAAAAGAAGTATCAAGACCAGTGAAATTCTCTCTGCTTCAGATGTGAGAGTCATGGGGTCAGATTTTGCTTCAATTGCAGCTTTTAGGGCTATCAGGGCAAGTGGAAGCAAACTCCACCATGAGTGAATGAAAGCACAGAAACGTATGTACATTTTGTTTGTCAATTGTTTTGTCTTCTGAAATAGTCCGCGTTTAATGCTGTTATCGACTCCTCCAATCAAATGGAAACCCGAGACTTGGGCTTCTATCTTCCAAAATGAATAAAAAGAAAAATCAAACAATTAAAATCAATTAGGGGAGTGGACTCAAATTGTAGCGAAATTTACAGGAATATGCCTCCCCTGAATTTGAAGAACTTCGATCAACAATGAACGATTGACCAAAATGAAACAGCGACGCAATGCACAGATGCAAAATTGGGGCAGGGATCAGAACCTCACAAACCAAAAGGATCTTCAATCTGCACCGTTGGTCGTTTAGTACCAGCACTTTCCTCACACAATCCACTTTGGTGCTCATCACAAGTGGCCTCCTCCTCCCTAATCGCCGTCCGACGGTGCACGTGGGGCAGTGGGTTTGACAGTGCATGCACCACTATCCTCTTGTTACTCACCAAATCAAGGCTCTTAATCTTCATGTAGTTTATCCTCATGGGAGACAAGGGCCCTCCTCCGCCTGCGGTGGTCACAACCAGTTCCTGCCCGCGCTCCATCGTCGGGATCACCGTATCCAGCGGCAGACTCATTAAGTGCGACCCCTTCAGAATTCTGTTGGGCACTATGTGAAACATTAGGTCGGTGACGTAAGCATGCCCTCCCCCTCCGGCGAAGATGGACCCATCGTCAATCGCGAAAAGCGTCATGGACTTGAGGTCTGCCAGCTCCGGGTACTTGACCCTCATCGCCAGAGCCACCAAACTGAACCCCCTGACACGCAACTCGGCCATGGCCTCTTTCAGCATCGAGCGCATGACCAAGAACTCTGCCGTGGGCGGCGGGGGGTCTGGGTAGGCGAGGGTAGTCATTTTCTCGATAGTGCAGGAAGTCGGCGAGAGATGAGACATAAACCCCTGGATGCCGTGGACGATGACGAGGCCATTATCGAAGAGGTCCGGTTTGGTGATTTCGACGCCGTTGACGAAGATTTTCCGGGTGGAGACGGCGTCGGAGGGGTTGATGATGGGGGAAGCGGTGATGGTGAGACAGCGGTTGCGGGCGAAGGTCTCAATCTTGGTGCCGAAGGCTAAGTTGCGGAGAAAGTGGAAAGAGTAGAGGCCCGGGAGGGAATGTTCTTGGAGGAGAAGAGGCAGGGAGCAGGAGGGGCAAGTGAGGAGGGAGGAGTCGGTGGGGGCGAAGACAGTGGAGGGAGCGGTGAGAGAGAGGCTGGCATTAGCGGTGACGTTGGAGAGGTCTCGGAAGCCGAGGGCGGAGAGGATGGTGGCGAAGAGGGAGGGTGGGTATGTGTGGACGAGTGTTTGTGCTGAGGCGGCGGCGGCGAGAATGGCGGCGGTGAGAAAGATGAGGAGGACATTGCGGGTGGCGCCCATTGTTTGGTTGGTGATTTTCTCTGGGGCTTTTTGTCTGACCGTGGAGTAAACGAAATGGTAGTGGTGGTGGTAGTTGTTAGTTGTTGTAATAGAGCGGGAAAAATATAGACGGTGCAGATTTAGAGGAGTGGTGGCGGCGGTTATGGGGATGGCAAGTTCTTGATTTCAGTGGGAGGATCTCAATCTGTTACTATGATTTTGAGAGCCTGATCGACCAAAATGCCCCTAAACAGCACTTTATGATTTTCAGAGCCTATGATTGATTATTGTTACACTCTTCCTCCGGATGCAGCTTGGCATTGCCACCCAATCCAGCAATCCTTCCTCCCCTTTATTATTCATGTCATGCTTGGATGATATATGACTAACTAATAGCCTTCTCTATCAACTGGCAAAGGCCTACCAAAGCAAAGCTAATCAAGAATCCTTTGCCTTCAAACTTGTTTCGCTTGACCTAATCACAGTCAAATAGAAGACTGCCAAACCAGCAAAACGGGAGAGGATCAAGTGTAAAAATCCAAATTCCAAACCTGCAACACTCGTTCATAGCTTGCTTTTCTAAAAAAGAAAGTCTGCTCAATTTGATTGATTAAGCTAATAGAAGCAAGAAGTCGAATTTGAGTTACAAATCGTACTATATAAAGCACCTTCATTTGAGAGCAAGATCACAGGAGGGAGAAGTTTTATTGATTGACCTGGCAAGTGGTCAGCATACATGTAGGCGCAACACCAAAAAAAAAAAAGAAAAAGAAATGATCATAAAGAAAATTTTACTCGTTTTTCCAGGCGTACAAAATCAATGAAAATCCCTCACCTCGTGACCCGGACTTTTGCGAACCTGACCGACTGAACACAGACGGATTTGAGGAGACGGTGGAGTGGCTGTTTCGCAGCTTCTCGGCCGAGAGACAGGTTTGAAACAGGAAAACAGCATTGCCCATAACATTCCCAAAGAACCAACTATGAACATCCCAGTACACCTCCACCGGCAGTCCATCCACCAAAATAGTCTCGTTCCCCCTGAACTTCCACCGCAGCCGCTTCACCTGCAACACCGCTCTGCTATCCACGCTGATGGCCAGAGATGGATCGTTAATCCCCCCAGTATCGCACTCAATTTCGATGTCATGTATCGGCCCGTGGTCACAGAATTGAGCCTTTGTAGTGTATACTCTCTTCCCAAAGATGTGCTCTCTTTTGGCAATAAACACCGTATTAGATGCAACAGGGCTAGTACCTATTTTCTTATACACTTCCTTTTGCAAATCCCCGAGGAGTAGGACAAGTTCTTGGTTAAATGCAACGGCTAAATAGAAACCCTCTAGCGGTTCCGGGCCAAAACCAAATTTTGCGGATGAAAAATCCCAATATATGTCAATTGCAGTGGAATCGGCCTCTGAACTTCTGAACCCTTTTCTTGGAGTAAATAACCAAGGCTTAATATCAACCTTGCAGACGCATTCGTTGGTTGAACTCCGAATTCCAATGCTAACTCCTTGCCCCATCAAATTCTTGGACCAGGTAATGGTAATGAAGCATGAAGTGCCCTGAAACTGTGTCTGATAGACGCATGTAACGAGATTCTGAGAAGCTTTACTAGAATTTGATGATGCTGGGGAAGAATCAGCAACCTGGACCCCACTTTCATTGAAACAAGAAGGGAAGTCCCTCATTATCTGTGAATCTATAGCTCAATTAATTTTCTTCTCCAACTTCATTCAAGCTGTGCGATCCCCAGCTATAAATTCCTGCTCTTGTGGCAACTTAAATTAGATGAATTTGTAGGAGCTCAAACTAGATGAGGAACCAAGCATTTGCTCCCATGTTCTGATGGAGCAAGATGTTGATATGTTTCCAAATGAAAAGTGACTATTCTATTGGATGAGCTGTAGGTATGCGCACAAAAGCATGCTTCTTTGTCAAATCCTAGTCGATCAGTGCTCAAAGTCTGTATAGAATGTCTGCACCAAAAGACTTGGGTTGCAGGAAAGGGAGGAAAAGGCTAGCAGATGAGATCAGAAAATTGAGTGCTAAAAGACAGAGCTTTACCGAGGAAGGAGAAGTGGTTGGAAGTTTACTCATCAATGAATGAAACGGGCAATTGGGCTGCAAATGGACACTTGTTAGGCACGTTATGTTATGTTATACAGCGACACGAACAGGAAAAGCAAACTCCCTTTCCCCGCGGTGGTGTCACTCTCACTGTCTCAACTGGTAATGGAGTGCCATTATTGTAGCAGACATGCCAGAATTCCAGCAGTTACAGTCTTACAGAGACAACAGAAACCAAATTCTTTATTATTATCTTTTCGTGGGGATATTAACTTGATTAAAGTTAAAACTATACGACCATATATTGCCTGGAGGGTCAGATAATCTTCTGTCTGGAATTCGGAATGTCAGATAAGTTGTGGTATAACCCAAAGGGATCTTAGCTGCCTTTCCTTCTCTTTGTCCTCCTCCCTTGACATGACGTGTCTTCGAGTTCTTGATAGCCCGAGAGGAGAAACTATATATATAAATATATATATATATGTACTCCTGTAATTTTCATTTCCCGCGGGGCTCCGAGAAAGACGAATTTAGCCACCGGGGCAGATAATAGGAAAATGAATAAAGCATCCGGTTAGGGGTGCGAGCGGAGCTAATCTAATTGAACATCCTAATGATTAATCTTGTTTGATCATTTTAAACGAGACTTTGAAATTTTGTTCATATTTAACGAAGAGTTTGTTTCTCAAGTTGAATTTGAACGAATTTATTATCGAACATAAAATAATGTCCAAACTCGAATTTATTAATTGGCAAACCAATCTCGAACGAGCTCCTGTCAAACCAAATTCGTTTCGAGTCAATTGATTGATTATCTCTCAGCCTTACATGCTAATCTGGATTCTGGAGAGGCAATGATGAATTGTGAGTGCAATTATCATATTCATTGCAATCCGACCAATTATGACGCAACTGAATCAGTCAAGTCGTGGGCTCATGCCACCCCCCAATGAGTGTAATAGTGTATTACTATATCTTTCCAGATCATACCTGGATCTGATCCTTTCCGCTGTATAAAATTAATTTCTTCGTCTTTAAAACCGAATGGAAGGTAATTTCCTGTTTGGTTATTTGAAGATTTTTAGAAGGTGAAGTTGCGTCTCCGCCCTACATATCTCCTCACGTGTAATTTTCGTATTAATTAGGCGGTGGTCGGTCGGCCTACATATGATGTACGACGCCCAAACCAATCTTGTTTTGAAACCTAATCACAATTAATTCTGCCAACTTGATACAAGTGCTAATGTGACCGTTTCCCTTACGCAATTAATACAGCCACAGCATTTAAATGATGCGGTCCGGAAGCCACAAATAATTACTGTACTACTTTAGTCGGAACTCAGAAGGCAGGAATTGGCGTGAATTAATGCTAATCAATTCAGCTTCCGTCCAAAAAGAAGTTAAGAGAGAAAGGGCGTCGGCAGCGCTCAACTTGACCTCAGGCAGACAACATCGACCCTACTTAACCTGCTGGTAGACCCGGATTTGCAATTCGAGTTATTGGACTAGATCAAGACATCCGGGCATTTATTGAGCAAAATATTGATTATGGCTCTTCGGATGGATGGCCAACATTTCGTCTCAACTCATCATGTATACTCCCTCCGTCCCATTTTGTTAGTCTTGGTTTTTTTTTTCACACAGATTAAGAAAGTGTAATTAATTTGGTTGGAAACATAAATTTAGATTAATAATTTCCTAAAATACCCTTATGCTAATCACGAAGAGTGCCAATTAATATCAGTTACAGCTAATGGGTTAGTATTGGAAAAGGTCAATGTATTCAATGTAGTGGGTTAGTATTTAATAACAATGTATTAATAACAAGATATTTAATAAGGATATTTTAGACAATTTGAAAGATTACTACATTTTTTAATGGGAAAGTGGACTACAATTTGGGACAGACGAAAAAGGAAAACAAGACTATCAAATGGGACGGAGGGAGTACTATATTATACACACGCTAATAATAAAATACATGTTGCCAGCCTAGCACGCCTGCACGACAAAATTACACTGGCAATATTTTGCATGAGATTAGGTCAGTGGATAATATGGAGACGTGATAGGTCTTATAGCATTTTTTAATAATAGATGTGAACGATTTCATCGTGTGTCATTTGCCTTCTTTTTTTTTTTTTTTTTGGGTTTATCTAGCCCGATTAGCTAGTCTGGGGGTATTATTCTAACAGTAATAGACATGCGTTAAGTATAAGAGTATCAAGAAAATGGAACCACCACCAATACTTCGTTCTGGCATGTACAACGTTATTAGTGTAGCTAGCTGACGAAAACGCGTCCAGAGAATCGAGTCCCCAGCCCCCTCCAGTGACGACTTTCTCAAGTTTGAAGGATTTGCATATGCCATGGTGTTTTTGCAAAGAAGAAAGTAAAAGAGACAGAGTGTATACGTGAAAGTTGATCGTCCGTTTTCTTTTTGTGATTGAATCGAATCGTTGGTTTGCCCCCATTTGAGTAACCATCATTAGTTATCATGACGCTTAACAACCATAAATCATGTAGCTTTCCCTCATTTTGTAGGGTAAAAGTCGGAACGCTTGACTCAGTCCTTTGTCGCAGTGTCATCCAAGTTTCAACCCTACCCACCATGTGTGCTGTGCAATTGAGAGGACCAGTCATCTTGGCTTTACTCGATCAAGCCCCATCCATTCTCATAAATCATAGACATGCTTCTCATCCACGTAAATTCCACATGCCATGTGTTGTATGATATTTGAATGGACCTTCATGCGTTAAAGACGCTCATCGCATTCTCTCTCCCTCTCTCTCTCGCTCTCTTATTCATTTTTTGAGTTTGGGGCAAAGAAGATGAAACTGCATCCCACTCTAGTGACCATGCTTCACAGCCATGGTGTATTCCATTATAGAAGAAATGGTTGTCCAAGAATTGAGGGGGACAACGGGCCACGTATACCCTTCATGTTTTGGTGGAACTTTTGTTTTCACAATAATGGTTGTCATTTTTGTGTGATTTTACCAGAATTCTTCTTTTACTATAAGTTTCAATAAAATATCTTCTAAATTTTTTTTTAGTGAAAGTTCTCTCTGTTTTTCATAGGGGTTCTTAGTTAAAATATTCTGCTTCTTCTAGGAGTGCTAGTGAGAATTTTCTATTTTTCTTCTTCTTTTGTCGTTAGATCCAAATTTATTTCATATCTAGTTATCAGATCCGAAATTCTGTTGGGTCTTGAGTCTCTTTCGACAGATTGCATCATAATTAATTGGAACTTAAACCTGTTGATTAGTGGATTTGACAATTGCAACTTGTGCAGGAGAGATGTACACTGATTTAATCTTGTGACCCTAACCTGCCCTGCATATAAACGGATATCTAACCCTCTTTTGACTCAACCAAGAAATGTGGATCGAATATCCTATTTTTCAGATCAAATCGGATCGAATATAATGAATTTTCATATCAACGGATATTTTTGCCTATCCTTATTTAGAGATTCCGGATTCACATTTCTCTGCCACTTCTTAAATTTCACCTCTACTTATTAGGGATGAAAAAAAAAAAACACTAACACATAGAGAATACCAAATCAACGAATCACCAGTAATAATAATTTCTTTAAGGGTTCACATATTTTGGCCGGGATTACAATTTTGATCTTGCAACCAGACTCGTTAACGGCCGTAAGTTGAAAGGAATACATCCTTGCAGGTTTGTTTGGACAGTTTCTCAAATATATTTGCTTACATCATTATTACAATTTTCAATATATCTTTTTATCTTCCCAATTACCTTTTTATCTCACATACATCACATTATAAAAAGTGCTACAATAAAAATATCTCAAATAACTTATAATCCAAACAAAAGTCCGCAAATTAAAAACCCAACGTCGACGGCCATGGGCAAAATAAATGGCAAAGCTTGATACTGAGAATGGACCTAGGCCTTCACCAGAGCCGGCAAAAGGGTGTGTAGCCCAAATCTAATCCATTTTAAGATTCAAAAGTAGGGTCGCATCAAATTCTACTTAAGGTTAAGGCAGTGAAGAATCGACTCAAAATTTGATCTTTTCACGTCCATCTTTTGCTTTTGTCGTCCATTTCTTTATTACAGCTTTGTTATTTGCCTTTATTGGTAATTCACAAGGACCTGTATTGCCGTTACTTTATAGAAAATTTACCTTATAATTCGATGACCCTTTTGTCTACTGCTTCTAAACCAGCAAGATTACTTTGCATTTTCCTTTTTCTGGAAGTAACAAAGCGTCTTTGTAGAAATCATTTTTCTAATTATGGATGTTTACACAACACTTTCGGCTTAAATTCTTTGTCTATTATAGAAGCGCTCGTGAATTTATGTTTAAGATCTTCGAAGTCCAAGATGTTACATAAAACTATAAAAGGTCATTAACATTTGAGTGGGTTTAAGTTCCTTACTTGGTAACCTTAACTGTGCCTATGCCACCTTTTGCATAAAAGTCACAAACCACAATAGATACTTTTACTGCCTCCAACGGGTAGCTCAACCGGTGTAATTGTTTCTCTTTAGGCATATCCACCAGAATTCGAGTCACGCTGTTAATACGTTTGGAGTGGGTTGGGGCGCCTTCTCCCGAGCCACAGGAGATTAGTTGGGTCAAAGGCCAGGACACCCTTATGTCGACTTAAAAAAAAAAAACAATAGATACTTTTACTTTTTTTTTTGGCAAGAAAAAATATTGATTAACTAAAAAATTCATATTTTCCTTCGCTATATGTAAGATCCAAATTAATTAAAGAATGAATGTCGTTGGGTAATAAATCCAGAGCAGTTCGACCAACAGAGTTGAGAAAATGAATGGTCCAAACACCGGTGTTCATTAGTGATACAGAAGAATACGCTTTGTCCTCCATTGCATCTCATGTAAAACAAACGGATATGTTGTTAATCATCACTACATAAATAAACACCTAAAAATAAGATACGAGTCAACAGAAAGTAATTATTTATTTGCATAAAAGAACGCCAAATACATACATCACATGGCAGTTTACGATGGACCGTAGTAAAGATGAAAGAGCAGAATAATGTGACGAGTTGATATTTGAGAATAAAGTGATGAAAGCAGAAGAGGTTGCAGATTTCACTCGTTCTTATTTCTTGAAATTCACTTAACTACACAAAGAGACTGCTAGTGTTCAAACAA